TCTCTACCCACCCGCTCTCCTCCAGCTCCCAGTAACCACTAATCTGTGTCTGTCTCTGAAGATTTGCCTGTCTGGACATTTCCTCCACACAGAGTCAGACAACGCGTGGTCTTTTGTGTCTGGCTTCTTGCAGTCAGCCATGTTAGAGGAACAGCCAGACACTAAGGGCGCAAACCTGACATCTCCATGTGTGTGGTAGATTCACAGAGAGAGGCCAGTGAGGGGGCTGGGGTGGCAGGCAGTGACTTGGGGTATCCTTTGGGGTAATGAAAACCTCCCAGGGCTCCCCATAACACCTGGATGTCCTACGGGCCTCTGAACTGTGCATTTCTGAGCCCTTCCTGCTTGATTGTACTTCAGTTGGTGGAGGGGCCCAGAGGAACCCAGGGGCCTCCCATTGCTCAGGGCGAGTATGACAATGCCCTGCGGTCACGGTTGTTTGCTCTGGGAGCGTTCCCTGCCATCTGACAGGCAGTGCTCCTCTGGAGCACTGATTTTCCTGCCAGTGGGATGGTACCCGGGAGCCCACCGTGCAGCGCGGTCCCTTGGGATGACTCAGGACCCTCCCTATGTGGGGAGGAGACCGTTGCTGCCATGGTCTGTCCTGCTCATTGTCAGGGCCATTTTCAACCCCATTCCCGGTAGGGCCAGACCTCTGCCCCTCCTCACCACAGGCTCAGAGGGGCCGACGGAGGGACTTTCCAGCTGGGTTTCTCCTCCCGGGGTCCAAGCCTCTTCCATGGCCTCCCCTCCCCCTCACTGAGAGCCTGCCTTGCGTCAGCCGGAGACTCGTCCTGGGGGCTGTGGACGTCACGATTCATGCTCATCTTCAGAGAAATCCCCATGGAAACCAGCAGACACGTTTGGACGAGAGCAGCCGCTTCCCTAGAAAGGCAAAGTAGAAGTAGAAAGGCTGAGGCCTGGAGCCATGTGGGAGCTGGGTGTGTTGGCCATTCCAGCCTCTGCAGCTGGTAGGAGGACCTTGAAGGTCCCCCAGATTGTCCCCCAGGGGTCCTCACAAGGCCTGTCTAGCCCATCTTTGCTGACTCCAGTCCAGGCCATCACAGCGTCCTGGGCCAAGAGCTCACCGCAGAGCCAAGGAAGGGAATAGCGGCTGGCCAGTCTTGCAAACACAAGATCCTGCACCCTCCGCCCCAGAGCAGAGGGGCAGAGAGACAGCTCGCTCACCTGTCCCCAGCTCCCGTGGGAGGCCAGCATCCCCAGGACCCCAGGGGGTGACCCCTGCACCTTGCACAGGATGCTTACACGAACCAAACCTGCCTGGTTAGACCATGGTCAGGCCACCAGCAGCACTCAGCAGAGCCGGTGGCCAAGGACAGCGGCCCCTTAGCCCGGGCCAGGGCTCCCAGCCTCTCCTTAATAAGTCTCTAATGAGGGTAATTTGGCAATGGCGTAAAATATGCTCTTACCCTTTGTCCCAGTAATTCCACTTCTGGGAATCCGGCCTAAAGAAATAATCCTAAATATAGGGTAGAAAAACATGTCTCACAGGGTGTCCGCTAGAATTGTTTAGAGTTCCCAAAGCGAAACAACATCCCTGGGGGAGATACCCCCCACCCCGGGTGGGGGGAGCAGAATGTGTTGCAGCCACTAGGACCAGATGGTTCCAAGGTGACCACTCCTGTGCCAGTGCCTGTATGGGATGCGGTGGGCTGAGGCGTTGCAGAATTACACGGTTTGGGTTCTGTTTAAATCGTGTGCGCCTTTGACGGGGAACGGGGTGCACTGGCGTGCTCCTGGGTGGTCCTCGTGTGGTTTCGTGAAAGGTCGGCTGTTCCTCGCCTTCCCGTGAGCTGCGTTCACGCCTTGTCTTTCTTTTGGCCAGGCTTGGGTTGTGACTGACCTGCAGTGAATTCACCCCTTCTCCTGGGTGGGAGGTAGTCAGCAGCAGCTACTGAAGCGGGCAGCTCCTCCACCCTGGCATCTGCCCACCCAGCCCAGCTCCTGGGCAGCTGGGCGCATCTGATCCCATCCCTAGAGTTTTGTTGATTCTAGGCTATCAGTGGAACTAGGTGAGCTTGCGTTCAGGAAACTTGAGGCGCCATGCTCCGGCCATGCTCCGGGCCTTCCCTGTGGGCCTGCTCTCTCTCTCTCTCTCTCTCTCTCTCTCTCTCTCTCTCTCTCTCTCTCTCCTTTCTGTCTCTTTCTCTTTCTCTCTTGCCCTCCCTCCCTCCCTCCTCCTTCCCTCCCTTCCTCCTCTCTCTTTTCTTTTTTTAGAAGGTAGCAAGGAATGACTTAGCACCGTAAAACTACACCTTGAGGTGTGAGGCGGGCAGTTTTCAGAGGGCCGGCTTCCTGCGCTTGTCAGAGCTTGGTATTTGGCCCGTAGGGTGGGGTGAGGTGAGGTGACTCAGGTGGTGTGGCGTTGAGGCCCCAGGCCCTCTGGTGTGCTAGCACGGGGGCTGTGTGTGGGAAGGCACACACCTGTGCGATCCAGAAGGCCAGGCCGGGTGCCAGCAGGTTGGATGCTTTGTCTCCTCTCCCCGCCCCCCCCCCCCCCAACTTGAAGGCCATCAGTGGAGGGTGACAATGGTCTTTACGCCCCGGGCGGCCTGGCCTTGATCAGGGAGAGAGCCGGTCAGCTCAGTCATTGGCTCAGGGTGTCACCCCGTCCTTTACTCATTCCTGCTCACCTCTCCCTGCAGGCCTGCCTGCCCTAAGCTGGAGTTCTGTGGGTATGGCCTGGCCTGGCCACTTCCTGCTGATGGGGTCCTAGGGTTCTTGGGGGCAAGAGTCCTAGGAACCTGTGGCGGCTGGACAGTGCTGGCGTTAAGAAGGTAGCCTTTCTGTTGTGGACTAGCAGGACCAGCGTTGTCATGAAACCACCATGGGCCAAAGCGTTCTGCAACCCTGAGGTGACACTTGCAATCAGGTCCCAGTGAGCCCAGGCAGGAGTCAGAGCAGAGAGCCCGGGATCTGTGTGATCCAGCAGTCTGGGTCAAAGGCGAGGTCTGCCCCGACTGGCCTCTCAGGACTGGCCAGGCGTGGCCTTGTTGCATACCAGGTGCCTCGCAGGAGGCACTCCCGTCCTCCGGCTTGAGGAGGTGAATGGCTCAGAGCAAAGAAGACGAGAGGAAGATGAGTCAAGAATGCAGAGTTCCCATCTGCTGCAATTCCCTGGCGGGCACAAGTCGGGAGTCAGAACTTGGAGGCAGGAGCCATGTCTGAGGGCTTGTTCGAACTCCTCCCTCGGGGTTGACTGCTTCTCAGTCTTAAAGGATTAAGATGTTGGCAGTCTGACTTGGTACTTCCCTGGCCAGGAGTAAGCTAGCACTCAGGAAGGGACACATGGGAGTAGCTGAAGTGTATGAGTCAAAAGAACCTAAAGCTAAAAAGCCTAAAACTAGAGACACCACCATAGAGCGAATGCAGAAGGAAGTCCGAGTCCAAAGACAGCCAGGTAAATAGTATAGGGAGTAAGTTTGGCCAGGTGCAATGTAACCCTAGTTACTCAAGAGGCTGACACCTTGAGGATCGTGTGTTTGAAGCCAGCCCAGGCAGGAAAATCTGTGAGACTCTTATCTTTAACCAACAAAAAGCTAGTTGGAAAGCATGAGGCAAGTGGTAGAGTGCCATCTGAAAGCAAGAAAGCAGAGTGAGTGTACAAGGCCCTGAATTCAAGCACATGCACACACATAGGCATGTACATGCAGTGTGCACGAATATTTAGAGTCCATGGAAATACTGTTTTTACGCCTCTGCTTACATAGTAGGGCTTTGCATAGGCTAAGTTGTCTTTCTCTGTCTCCCCGTGGAGGTGTGCATCTGAGGGCTGTGGTCGGTAGCCATGTCTAAGAACCCTTGCTCTTGGCTTCAGGTACTTTTGGAAGGGTTGCCACCAGTAACTCCGTTTTTGTCGTTGGGGTTTGAGACGTTCTATAGCTCATGCTCTCCTTGTTTTGGTGAGTCCTGGGCAGATGTTTGGGGGGAGCATCCCTCAGTTGTTTATCTGAATTTGGGGGAGGAAGACCCCAAAAATGAAGTTTGGTCTTTTTTCACAGTATGTCCTTTCATGAATCTTTTCACTGTGTTCCTGGTGCTGTGTTGATTAATAAGCCTATGACAAATTCAACCTCCCTTAATGCTTCCCACAATGCTATTAAGTAAATTCCTGATCTTCTCATTAGAGGAACCCGGCCCAGAGAAGTGCATTAATGTGCTTAAGGATACACAGGAAGTGGCTCAAACATGTGTCTCCATGGTTCTAAAGACTGCCTTTGGGCCAGGTGCTATTTGAGGCAGTGCAAAAGCAATCTTACACAGCTTCAAAAACATTTATGCGTAGTCTTTTTGGACAAAGTCTTGCTGGCAACTTCTAACACGCACACACACGCATGCACGCACACACCACCCAAACCCGGCCGGGTCATGAGGAGTGGACTCATAGCCAGTTGCTCAGGTAAATGTTGGCCATGTTCAGGACAAGGAACTGTACCCACATGGCCTGGCTTTGGTCTCCAGGAGGATTGTGGGAAATAGAAGCTTCTAGGCTTCCCGTTAAAGTGCTCAGTTGTGCTCAGAAGAGCTGAGGTCTGGATATTGGGCTTGGTCTGCAGTCAGGCCACATGGCAGCACATGGTGGCCAGTCAGAAGCCCAGTGCACCGGCCAGAGGCATGGGCACGGATTCTGTGCCAGCCCACCGGGAGCCCCAGAAGGAAGTGGAGTGTGGGGTTTGAGATCTTGACACTCAGCTCTGGGTGCCCAGTGTAGGATGGCATGGACAGCGGAGGGGACCTGATTGATGCTTTGTGGGCCAGAGATGATAATGGTGGCCGGTGCTGAATTCTGGGGACACTCCCCAGTCCTTTTCCTCCGGGGGTCCCCCATCTGTCCACACTCCACACCTGTGAGCAGCGAGTCCCCCAGCACCCCTCTCCACTGGTCTCTGGGACGCTCCTGGGACCCGGGTTCTGAGCCTCCGTGCCCGGCCAGCCTGCATATCTGACCTGTGTGTATGTGTCTTTCTTTCTTTCTACAGCCAACTGGGTACATGGAAAACTCAGTCTCCTACAGCGCCATTGAAGATGTCCAGCTGCTGTCATGGGAGAACGCTCCGAAGTACTGTTTACAGCTCACCATCCCTGGGGGGACCGTCCTGCTGCAGGTAGGAGGAGCCAGCAGGCTGCACTTTCCGCCCCTCCTCCCTCCCCCCCCCCCCCCTCCAGTTTCTGCTCTGCCTGGCCCTGGGCAGCGGTGGGCCACTGCCGCTGCCCTGCCCTCTCCTGTCTCAGAAAAAGCTGTAAGGGTGCCTAACACCAACTGTAAGAAAGGCACAAATGGAGCAGCCTGAGGAGGAGGAAAGAATTGCAAGGATTGAGCTCCTTCTGTATGCCTTCACTGCCTTAGTATTTGATCTTAAACCCAAGAAATGAGTTGTGAGGGTTCCATTTGGCAATGAGGAGACTGAGGCATGCAGGCCCAGTTGCTAGGCCTTAGAGGACCATGAGAAGCAATGAACCACACGTGCTGCCTTCTCATCTGTACAAGGAGGAGGTTTCTTATTCTTGGTTGATTCTGGAACCCAATGGCCGTACCTCCTGCTCGGAGGAAGAATGTGTGCATTTGTTTATTAGTCCAGGATTTGATGTTAACAATGTAAATTGGTGAAGCAAAAAGGAAGCTGTAATGCTGAATCTATTGAAACACGTGGGAAGTACAGGAGAGGATTTCAGGCATCGCTGGATCCAGGAGTCAGATGATGACATTAATATTCAGCATGCCTCTCCCTTTCTTCCTCTCCCTCTTTGCACTTCCTGGCTCTTCTTCTGTGTGTTGCTTCATCAGGAGGCTGACTCTCTCAACATGTGGTGGGAAGAGCAGGTCCTTGGCCACCCGAAGCCACATTCCTACAATCCTTAGAAAAACAAGCCCGTTTCCTTCCCAGTACCTTGCATACAGTCTCCTGGAAGACCTTGGTTGGCTCTGCTGAAGTCCCGTCCCTCAGAAATGCTCTCCTGGTTGCCTGCCCACCGTGACTGATCCACCAGGCCCTCCCCGGACCGCAGGAGGTGGAGGTGGGGGGTGCACTCAGAAGGGAGAAGTGAAAGGCAGAATGAAGCGGCACAGCCACATGCCGGCCCCTGTCCTGCAGGCATCAGTTCCAGAGGAACCGAGTCAGAACTTGGCCAGAGAAGTTTCCTCTTCAGCTGGGAAGGGCAGAGCCTTGGCCTCCTTAGGAACATTTCCTTTCTGTCTGTCTGGGAAAACCTCCTCTTGCCAGATAGATGCTCCCTGAAACCTTCTTCAGGTAGCCACTAGGGTAGGGGTATGCGACTCAAAGAGTAGAGGACTTGCCTAGAAAGTGTGAGGCTCTTGAGTTCAAACCCCACCTAGCACTACCAACATACATAGTGGCTATATATATATATAGCCACTAGCTTGGGACAAGTGCCAGGATCTGAAAGGTGCTGGCCCATTCATCATGGCCAACGCATCCTCTGCTGGAGGACACGGAAGACCCTGCCCACCCCGGTCTGTCTTCCTCTAGTCCTGCTCTGCCCGCTGAGGACACGCCCCTCCCCGAGTCCTGTCCCCTCCATCCTGCCTCATGGGCCATTTCCCCCTCCTGCCACTTCCTCCTCCTCCCTCCTTGCCTTCCTGTCCGATGCTGTCAGATGCCGCACAGAGCACCATCCACACCAGGGTGGAGATGCCAACCCCCTTGGGTGGAAGACCATCTGGGCCGCAGTAGCCAAGAGAGGCCGGCAGGCCTGGGAACAGCCCGCCCGCTCTGTGGGCTGTCTTTCCTGTGCTGGAGAGGCCGCATGCTTGCAAAGCGCCCAGAGCCTCTAGGGAGGCCGAGCCATAAACAAATGATTGCAGAAGCCGGTGGCTGAAATAGAGGCATGTCCCAGCGGACCAGGGCCCAAGAGGAGAGGAATGACTCAGTCTGCCTTAGGGTGCCAGAGCAGGCTCCCCAGGGATCCAGCATTCGATCTGGGCACACAGGGTTGAGTAGGAGTGTGCCAGGGTGGTGGTTGGGGGTGTGCAGTCTGGGTAGGGAGCGTGTGAGTGGGGCGTGGAGCTGGCTGTGGCTGTGGCTGGATGGAGGGCTGCATTTAGGGTCTGTGGCTATGTCCAGAGCACGCAGGTCCCGTCCGCCAAAGGAGGAAGTAGCAGCCTGATGAGGGCCAGAGGCAGCCATTGAAAGCTCTTAAAGGATGGAAGGCACCCTAGGTTACAGGTGCAGAGCCGACATGGAAGGGACAGAGGGACACAGGAGGGAGACTAGAAATGGCTGGGCAGGGCAGGGAGGCCCTGACCCCATTCTTCCAGGCTGGAGCTGGCTACTCTGGCATGGGAGGCCCTCTTGGTCTTGGGGCTGCTTGAGGAGGGCCAGAATGCCAGTCACCCTGGGCAGAGGGGCTGCGGGGATGCAGGATGCTGGTCAGGGCCTGGAATGTTCCTTTAACCCGGCCGTGGCCGGGAGCCCAATGGTAATGACTCGCCTGGACGGCTGCTGTAGGCAGGGCTGTGCGTCAGAGCTCCCGCTATGGGGCCAGAGCTGCGGGCGGGCGGGCCTCTGGCTCCCCCAGCATCCCCCTCGCCTGCCACCCCTACTCGGATGCATAGTCAGAGGTAGAAGCGGCAGAGGAGGAGGAGAGGCAGGAGAGAAGAGGGAGGCCGGCAGCTCAAGATCCAGAGCAGATTTAGCTTGGCAGAGAGCGCAGCAGCCTTCCATGGTCCCCGGGGAGCCCAGGTGGGTGCCGCTCTGCCCCTTGCAGGGCACCCCCAGCTTGCAGGGCACCCCCAGCGTAGGGCAGTGGCCGCAAGCCAGCTCCTGCCTCCACGCTGGTCCCCCCCCCCCCGCCCCCCCCCCCCCCTCGGTGTGTGCAGCTGGCTGGAGATGACCGCCCTGTAGTTCCAAGAGGCCCGGTGACACTTGGCTCTTGGATGCCGGGCACCTTGATCCTGCTCACATTGTGCTTGTAATAGTGGCAAGGCCTGGATTTAGTGATGACACATGGTCACCAAGAGCCACCCCAGTGGCCCTGGACAGACCTTCCCTGCTGACTGGTAGGAGGGGCAGAGGGGCCTGTGCACCGTGGTGTGTGCGCTGCTTAGTCTGCCCCAGGGGGTTGCATGCGCTCTTCCTCCATGCAGCTGGGTGCCTGGCACCCCATACAGCTGGTTGCCACTGTGGTGGTCTGTGCAGGCAGCTCTGGGGGACACTGGGGAGCTTTGTGTCTGGGGCGTGGCATACGCTTTTCTGTGCACTCCTCCTAGGAGCGTGGTCTTGTGTGGGCTCTGTATGCTTCCTGTCTTGCTCTGCCCTAGCACGGGGCTTAGCCTCTCCACCTGGGGAGAGAGGGGGTGTCAGGATCCTCTGGGGGTCCCTGTTTCTCCTGCCTACCCCCACTGCTTGCTGGTTTGGGTGTGTCTCTTTCAGGATGCAGCTGTGCCTGTCTGATTTCCTCCATCTCTGATCTTTTCTCTCCGACTCCCTTCCCTCCTTTCCCCTCTCTTCCCCATCTTTTCTTCCTCTCCCCCCCCTCCCTCCTCCCCCCCACCGCACATTCTATTTCTCCTATCTGGTTCTGTCATTCTCTGCCTGCGTCCTTCTCTCTCCTCCTCCTCCTTCCCTTCCCTTCCTCTTCCTTCCCTTGTCTGTCTTCAAGGGGGTTCCTCACAGGGCTCCTGCTTCACTAGCATTTGAATCTGTGCCACAGGCAGGCAGACCTCACAAGGCTGCCCTGGTTTCTGGGAAGACTTAAGTGGGCGTTTGTGCCATACCCTTGTCCCCAGCCCAGAGACCAAGTAATATGCCTGCAGGCGCCCGCCATCCCGCGTGGCCACCGCCACGCTTCTAGATGCTTTGTGGATTCAGCATGAACTCCCCTAATGCCTTGCTGTTAGCATCTCTGGCTACAGAAAGGACCAATTTATCTTCCTCCTCCCTCAGTATCCTTTCAGCTGGCGTTGCATTGAGGAGGCCAGCCACACCAGCACATAAACGGTGCGATGCAGGTGTGCTGGGCGCCTCACCGGGCCCGGGTGGGGCACTGGACATCAAGGATCCGGGCCGTGCAGACCACCTTTGGCCGGCTCTGCCCCCGTTGGGCTCCCAGCCGTCAGTGCAGCGCGGGGACGGTGTCTGCAGCTTTCTGGACCATTTTGCATCTAAACCTGGCTTTTCTCAGCAGTGATTCTGAAAGCCCTGCTGGAGGCCAGGCAGCTGTTTACCCCAAGGCTAGCAGCTGGCCGGGACAGGGTGGGTTCCCTTCTTACTGGAAGTCAGAAAGAAAGACCTTTCCGGGCTGCGCACACTGCTGTTTTCCCCCCAAAAGTCGGGCCAGGAGCCTGGACTTGGGAACGTTACCCACAGCGCGCTCCCTGGTTTTTCTCACCTCTGAGACAATGTAACAATGAGATAGAACTTGGCAGCTTTCGCAGAGGAAATTGGGCAGAATTCGCCTGGAAGCAGCCCTTGAGAGACTGATCACGGGCGGGCGGGCGCGGTGGGAGGCTGCTTGGGCAGGCCCGTGGCCGAAGGGGGCAGGGGCAGGGGCAGGGGCAGGCTGGGCTCCTTCCCGTGTGCTCCATGGATTCTCTGAGTGACGCTGGCACCCCTCGGCCCGGTGGTCCTGCTTCTCTCTGCTGCCAGCCATGTGGCAGGGGTGCTTTGCAGAGGTGACCAACCGGTCCCTGCCAAGGCCCAGCGGGCCTGCTTCCCCGGGCAGGGGCTCAGAGGACGCCCAGCAGTTTCTGGCAGAAAGAGTGGTCCCTCCCACCCTGGACCCAGCCTGCGCCTCCGCAGGGAAGGTGGCCAGTCTATCTGCAGGGTGTGGCCTCTGGCCCAAGTCCCGCCTCCAGCGGGTGCTGGCGCATGGCACGCCCGCTGCTCAGGGGGAGGGGGAGGTATCTGTGGGGCAGCCCAGAACTGCTGGGTGACCCAAGGCAGTGGAGAGGGGCCTCCCTGGGCCCCTTACCTGTGAGCTGGACCCACAGCACGTCTCCTTGGCTTGCATTGAGGAGGCCAGCCACACCAGCACATAAACGGTGCGATGCAGGTGTGCTGGGCGCCTCACCAGGCCTGGGTGGGGCACTGGACATCAAGGATCCGGGCTGTGCAGACCACCTTTGGCCGGCTCTGCCCCCGTTGGGCTCCCAGCCGTCAGTGCAGCTCACAGGCTCAGTGATGGCCCCTGGACAGCCAGCACTGTATTGGGTCAGCACCGGTGTGGCTGTTTCTAGAGCCACTGTCAGTACCTGCAGGCGAAGGAAGGCTACCAGACCAAAGGGCTCTTTTCAAGTTGTATTCTTTTTTGTAAAATGTTGAATGGCTGAATGAGTATAACGATGGACCACTTATCCACCCACCCACCCACCCCTACAGCCACCCGCCTATTCATGCATTTCACCCATTTACCCACTGTGTGTCCATGTGTCTATACATCCGTCTGCCCACTCACATACCCATCCATTGGATCATCCGTCTGCCTGTGCGTGCATACATCCAGCCACCTCCCACCCATCTGTCCATACACACCCACCCCTGCAGGCATGCAGCATCCATCCATGTACCTGCTCATCCATACGTCTGTTCATGCTTCCTGGCCCAGTGCATGTGCATGCTTCCAACCATTCATTCATTTATTCAGCTCATCAGCCTTCAGCAAACATTTCTCTGGGTTTCAAGGGCACTGTGGTACATGTGTCAAACATGTTTTCTAACCTTGTGGAGCCGCAGCCAATAGAGAAGAGCCCGGCAGGCGGCTGCAGGACAGTGTGAGTCGAGGAGGGAGTCTGGAGAAGTCACTCTGGAGAGTTGGCATTTCAGGTGGGACCTGAGGGGCGCATGGGAGTTAAGTCAGGCCCCGTGGGGAAGGCGCGAAGGTAGAGCATTCCTGGCTCGGTGTTCAGGCTGTGTGAAAGGCAGCGCAGACAGAGCAGGCTGGGATTGCTGCGGTAACAAGTAGCCCCAATCCCACCTGGCCGGAAGCTGCGGAAGGTTCTTCCTCAGCTGTGTTCTGTGTCTGCTGTGGGTCTGCTCTAGCGCTGCTGGTGCTCACGTTGCCCGGAACATTTCTGCCACTGGGGCAGGGGCAGGGAGGCTGTGTCTTTTTGTGTTTTTCTTTACAGCTCCACTCCCTCATGTTGCAGTTTGGTATACAGCTGGTTAATAGATGGCACTCGAGACATATTAGGGTCTGATGGCAGAGCCCAGGGCAGGCAGGGTGAGGGCATGCGTTTGGGCTTGGGACGAGCCAGCTGGTGACCAGACTCCTCCTGTTCTTGTTACAGGCCGCCAACAGCTACCTGCGAGACCAGTGGTTCCATTCTCTGCAGTGGAAGGTAAGTCGGGACCTAGCAGATGGTGGCTTCGAGCCAGCTTGTCACTCAGAGGCTCTGCCTTCCTGACAGTCCAGGTGGGGGCTTTGCTCTGTGGCATCATCCTTGAAGGCCAAGGAGCTGGACTTTGGCGCTTGAGGAATTGCGTGGAAAGTGACTTTCACAAGGCTAAGCTTGTGTGAGGCTAAGTACGAGCCCTGCTCCTGTGCCCACTTTCCTTCTATGCCTGGCTCTCTGGTCTCACTCTGTGGGGCATGCCCGCGGTCCTCCAGGCCTGTGCTGGTCCCTTCCAAGGCCAAGGCCAGCTCCCCTGAGGACAGTGCTTCTCTCCTCCTCCCCCCCTAACTCTGTGTCCTGCCTAGTAGCCTTGGCGGTGGAGCTGGTGGTGGGGCGGAGCAGCACCCACAGGAGGCTGTTCCTCGCCCTGCCTCTTTGCCTTCTGATCTTGCCTGTAGAACCAGCCGTGATAGGTTGGCTGGAGCGACAGGTGGTGTCACCAATTGTCCTCGTTGTAGGGAGCTGGCCAGCCTTGGAAGCTGGGGTCCCCTGGTCCCTCAGGGGCTCCACACAGATGGAGGGGAGAGAGACCCAGACCATCACACTCTTGTCTTAGGCACTTTTCTCCTCCATGTCAGCCTGGGTCCTTTTGTTTTATGCCTGTGGTGCCAGGCCCTAGAAGCTTTATACAAGGTACCAAATGGAACCTGCATTTATTGAGCTCCTGCTGTGTGTGGAGCTGGCCAAGGCTCAGTGAAACGTCTACAAATTGGTGAAGCCTGTCACTGCCACCGCTCCTGCAGTGTGGATGGGGAGGTCGAGGCCCAGTCTGCAGACCGAGATGGGGCCAACGCTTGTGAATCTGAAATATCGTGGGGTCAGAGGGCCCAGGTGGCAGCTGAGAGAGTGAGGTAGCAGCCACTGAAAAGCCACCAAGAATTTGGTTTTCTGTGTGGGGAATGTGCCTGGTGCCGGCTCTCTGTGATCAGGCGCCCGTGTGTCCCTGGCCTCCTAGAAATGCAGTGGAAGAGGGAGGCTCTCTGGGGGGTGGCAGTCACACACCGATCGTCAGGACGGCGTGTGGCCATTTCCACCATCGGGGACCGCGGCTGCCTCATCTGCACTGCCTGTGTCCTCCGTGCTCACCATGGAGGACCCACAGGCCACCTCCACTGGCAGCCTGCCTTGTTCCTTGGCTCAGGATGGGGAGGAAAGTACCTGGACACCTGTAGCCCCCCCCCCTCCCCCCGGAGGTGGGGAAAAGCACCATGGCCATCCAAGAGGTGGCCGATGCACGTGGACTGGGCTGCCTGCAGGGGTGGTTTTGCACTGGGTGCTGCCCCCTCTCCTGCCTGGTCAGCCTGTCCCTTGGCAGCCATTTGCAGGCATTCCATGACGCTGCTTGAGAGAGCTGTAGATGGGACATGACTGTGACCAAGGTGGCACAGGAAATGGGCACAAGGAGCCCATCTGGAAGATGGTATAGGAGTTCACCTGGGAACCTCATGTGAAGGATGCAAACAAGGCCAGAACAGGGCCCCTGGGCTCCAGCAGTTCTCCAGAATATCTGAAAGTCTGGACTCAATTGTGGTTGCATTTGGGTCTTTTTTGGGGGAGGGAGGGAGGAGTGGCCTGTGCTAGGGCTTGAACTCTGGGCCTGGGTGCTGTCCCTGAGCCTCTTCTGTTCAAGGCAAGAACTCTACCATTTGAGCTACAGCACCACTTCTGACTTTTTTGGATAGTTTATTGGAGATAAGAGTCTACAAGAGTCCTCACATTATGATCCTCCTCACATCTGAGCCTCTTGAGTAGCTAGGATTACAGGTGTAATCCTGGGAGCCACCGGTGCCCAGCTTGGGTCTTTTTGTTTTTTTAAGCATCCAGAAAGTCAAGGCTTTCAGAGAACTGGCACCTGCCTGGCACTGTGTTCTCCCTACACAAGCGTGGGCGATGTCTCAACCGTGCCTGAGACACAGGGGCCGTTCCCCTTTCCCAGTTGCCCCAGTGATTTAGGTGTGTCGCCACCAGGTGGCAGTGGCATCTCAGTGGTAGCAGCTTGGCTGAATTCCTGTGGCTCTTGGTTACCTGGATTTGGTGAGGGGTGGGGCAGAGAAGCATTTGGTGTTTTAAAGTTGTTTGGGCTAACAAAAATGAGCTGGGAGACCTGGGTGTGAATGCTGGTTCCGAAGCTTACTGCCCTGGTGCGAGCGGATCCAGCACCTGTTTCTCTAACTGGGTGAGTGAATGAGTGAGTGAGGGCCTGCAGTGCCTGGTGGCTACTTTCTGGTCCATTGTCATGTAGCAAATGAAGGGATCAAGGCTCAGAGAGGTCAGCTGGTTTTCTCAGTTACACAGCAACCGGTCTGTCCTGCCTTCTTGATCAGTGCCTTTCTCTGAGCTCAGAACTCATCAGCCCTCTCAGAACATGACCTTCTACTGTAGCCTTTTCGCTCTCCATATTTTCCTTTTTTTTTTTTAAATCTTTCCTCTTTAATCACTAGAATATACAAATTGAGGGCATTTAGAAATTGCCCCGTTTCAGCATGAGGTTTTAAAGTTTCTAGATGTTTTTGAACACTGATGCCATGGCTGCAGCACACGCATGTGCAGAACATGTTCATCTATTCAGAAAGCGTGTGCTCCTCAGAGCCAGGGCCCTGCTTCGCTGTTCTGGTCTTGCACTGGCATCTGGGGGCCCTCTTCCGGGACAGCGGCCCCCCAGGGCTGACAAATCTTAATTATTACAATGGGAGTTTTCGAAACCCAGCCCTGTCCCAGTCCTGTCAGCTCTTTCTCTGCAGTGTTCCATTTGCAGAGCAGGCAGAGGACCGAAGAGCCTGCCGGGGACAGCAGTGAAGAGCTGCCCAGGGCTTGGGCTGTGGCGACCTCTGGGGATGAGGGGCAGCATGTGAACACGGTGTCCCTGAGCGCCACACGCGTCTCTGTGGGCTAGCTCAGGACCTGGTGCACTCTGCTGTCGGGGCCTCCTGCCCTCAGTGCTGAGCACTGATTTGTGTGGGAAACAGTCTCCCCAGATAAGCTCTGTTTATTTGCAAGTGAGGAGGCCGGTGGGCAGAGTGGCCACTTTGAGGTTCTCCTCCTTTCCCCAGGCAACTCAGCTTTGTCCTGCCTTCCGCAAGTCCTGGAGGCCTAGGCCCACAGGAGTTGGGAGTCTTTCCATCCTGGAAAAGAGATGGGCTAGCCTGGGCTGGCCAGCGGAGCGGGCCCTCCCAGCCCCCTCCAGAGCAGAGCTCATGTCCCACAGGCTCCCTGGGAGGGTGGCTCTGGGGGTTTGGGTGCTGGGCTCCCGAGGCCAGCCCCTGGGAGGGTGGAAATGTACAGTTAGTTGTACATGAGGCTTCCCTTTGATCTCCTGCCCAGGCCCTCGGAGGCCTGGTCCTGGCGAGACAAGCAACCACATGCACGGGCGGTCGGGGGGGGGGGGGGGGGAGGGGGAGACACAGCCACAGTTGTAAGCTCAGGACCGGCCTGTGTTCCAGGCTGCGGGGGCATTGCCCTGTCTCTTGGTGTGGGATTTGGAGGATGCCCTGTGGGCACAGGCACGGGGCGCAGACCTGCCTGTGAGCATGCCGCCGGGTGAGCACCACCTGCGCCTGGACCAGGCTCTGAGGGAGCCACCTGTGAGGAGACGCCAGGCGGCCACAGGGACCAGGGCCAGCTGCACCTGCTCTGCTCTGCTCTGCCCAGCCGGGACCCGAGCTGCCTCCAGCCTTTTGCTCCCTGGCAGGCTTCCCCAGGCCGCCACACGGAAGTCTTGGACTCCAGGATGATTTTATCCCCAAGGAGCTGGCTCACTAAGAACCGCCCCAGTCCGGGGTGGGGGGTGGGTGGGGGCTGTGCTGGAGCTGGGGGCAGACTGTGGGTAAGGCCAGAGCCACGGGAGCACACGGCTGGAGGGAAGTCCCAGGGTCCTTCTGCATGGTCTCTGGCTGGGCCCCCTGCTGCTCTCCAAGCAGGCATGGCCAGCCCCTTGGGCGGTCACTCAGCCAGACCTCTGTGCCCTAGAGGAGGTGGGAAAGAAAAAAGAAAGTAGGGGTGGAGAGCGCCTGAGGGAGAGCACCGTATGGAGCGTCTCTGGGTTCCTGGGCTTCCCTCGTGCCGGCAGCTTGTCTCGTCTGCTCCCTCGAGCGAGCCTCGTGACAGTTCCTTGTGGCCTTTGTCACTCCCAGGTCTTACAGATGAGGGAACCGAGAGTCTGGGGGGATGAGGGACATTGGTGAGGCCAGGAAGCATCTTGAGCTGTCGAGCTTCAAATCTCTGAGCTGTTGCTACATGTCAGGGCCCAGCCACTGGCTTCTTTGGCCCTTGCCAAAGGACAGCTACCATTTGGGTCCCCTGCCCAGGAACCAGGGATAGTTCCTGCATTCTCTTCCGCCCGTCTGGCTGTGCCTCCCGCATGGGGAGAGGGGAAGGGCTGAAGGCACTACCAGCATGCCTGCCCCGGGAGCAGCGACACAATGGCCGCAAGCCCTTCACTGGTGCCTGCAAGGCTGAGCTGGTCCTGGGCCCCGTGGGGCCCGGCCGGGGCAGAGGCCACTCCAGGGATCCTGTTGCTCTAGCCAGACACCGCTTCACCAGGCTCCAAACCCCTCCCCGACTATCTAGGAAGGACATGTGCTCCAGAAGGTCCTTCCACACACCTGCCTGGTGTGTCCAGAGTCCTGGCATTTTTTTCTCAGGAGGCCTTTCCAAATCTTGCAGGCATTGGGATTATGCAAAGTAACCCTTGCCTTGCCAGCCCCTTCCTCATTGTGAAGCATCACACCTTCCTTCCCCCCAACAACAGCCCAACCATTTTCAGTCCCACCCGCTTCCACCCCAGCCCAGACGCACTGCATTACTGGCTCTCTGGGCTTCCTCAGGCTGTCCAGGCGGTTCCATCAGATTTGATGGAACCGCCTGGACAGACTGTTTTGGTCCCTGTGGTAGGGTAACGGGGCCTCCAGTGAGAAGGAAGGGGCAGCAGGAGAGCAGGACTTGGTCTT